AARKTTKSGAAAGCATGAGAAACTATAACAGAAAGAAAGGGAAAAGTGTGGAAGGTATATCCCTTGGAACCCAAACCATCGTTTATGRCCATAGTTAGYTATGACAGATTAAGCCGTACAATGTATTGAGGTTTCTATTTATTGTTGAACACGCGATCATTTACCATGAATGAACCARTTGTATAGAAAACAAAGATTGATCGATAATTCAAAAAACACTTAGCCGAAAACATTACATCCGCTTTCTTTTGTTAGGATCTATTACACAWTTRAAAGCAGTTTTTATTTCAGTGAGATTCTTTCACGGATTTAGCGTTTACACTTCCAAAGATACAAAGAAAAATAAAACACTTAGTCRTAAACTGCAAAACAACGATTCCTAAAACGCTTTCCGCTCTCGAAGCCGATAAGTCATTAATGTACTTATTGCTCCAAAACAAGATCTCAGACGCATGGACATAAGTGTTTATTGTCGTAATCATCGATAAACTTTTGGAAGCTCTCACAAGAAGACTCTTTCGTGAATTTGTTGCGCAACCTGAAAAGCGTGAAAAATTGGTGAAAACTAGTATATCCCTTGAAATTGACGTTTTTGAATAAGTGTCTTRTATGGAAGCAAATCCTAGTAAATAAGTTAAAACAGAAACGGATAACATTGAGTAACCTTGAGATCGGATTAGCGTCCAAAACTAATATCAAGTTAATTGTCCTTTTTTATATAAAGTTTGTCCTGATTTGTGAAGAACTGTTTACTTGAGAGGGCTGATTTTAAATCTGATATTCTTAAAACGAAGTAAGTTCGAATGCTGACAAATCATGGCGTTAGATGGTTAAGTAGCTTAACAGAGCAGGGAAGTTTCTAATTTCTCAAAAGATGTTTCTTATTTAAACCGAGAAATCCGCTTCTAGCGTTGATAAGACCATTGAGTAGGTGTTTCGAGCAGCTGACTCTGAAATGGCAGCGTCCCCGCGGACATGAACTATCAAAAACTCCCGGAAAGTACTTCACTTCCGAAAAGTTTTCTTTAATTGAATGGTTAAGTTGGAATTGTTTAAATGTTGGTCTTTCCGATTATCTTAAATATACCCATTAACGTTTTGAATTGATGTTTCCTTACATCACAATATTTCGCCTCGGGTGTACCCTTGGTATATATTCAAATGTTCATATGGTTGAATGCTCTAATAAGTTTGATTCGATTAGAACCATAAATGAAACAATGAGACACCGTTTAAGTCTAGTTTTAACGCAAYGKTCTTGTTCTTTGTTCACTTGTGGTATGGGGACGATTACACGCAAAGTGTCGCAAGGAAGCTCCTCTTGTTCGTGACTTGAAGGATCAAATGAGTGTTCTTCAACCCACTCGTTCCTGTTATCTGTCTTCTCAGAGTTACTAATTCTTAATCCATTCTTCCTGTTTTTCATTCATTTACTCCTTTGTTTGTCATAATCGTCTATGTCATTTTTCATCCCATTCGTGCTTTCACTATTTTCTCTTTCTATCAATTATTCTATATTTCCATCTAGATTAACGGAAAATACTCATGGTTTTTGGCTCAGACCTAACTGGGGGAATCTGTATATTTGATTGGATTGATAACAGCAGCAGTGCCCTCGTTACATTTAACAACAACTAGAAAAATCAATTAAAAATACTTGTTTATYGACTAATATATATTTGCATTAAATTATCTGAGATCCGAATAAAAATTGGTCACAGTGTTTCTTTGTCCAAACTCTCTCTCTCTCTCTTTTAGTTTTCTYTCTTATGAGTATTGAATAGTATTACCCACATAGCCAGGCTAATATTTGGTTTAATGTTGAAGTTATATAGTTTCAATCCAAAGGGGATTCTTATTATTTCGATGTATGGCCATTGTACTAATATTGCTCTATTGATGGATCTTTATAAACGCCGTAATTATTGTGCTTGTATGACCGCTTGATAGCCGGGAACGTTTTGACACCTTTTTAGTAGAACCCACTTAACAGCGCATCAAAAGCAAAATATCAATATTTTTAGACCAATATTCTCAAGACTTTTTCTCGAGACAAAATATCGTTTAACGTATATTACTGTTGTGTCTTGTACAAGTTGATATATCAAAACTTGTATTGTTAATTTGTTTGGGAGTTAACGTTGGCACAGGTGCAATAGTAATATTAATATTCGCCGTGTGACTCTCACTATGCTTAAGCGATTTGATCATTTCCGAAAAAAATATGACAGATACAAAAATGATAATATTAAAAACGACAAACAGAATGCGAAAAGTGTGCTTTCCGAATTATTTCTGGTGACAAGTAATGAAAAACTATTTTTTTCAGATTTGTGTGAGGAGAAAGATCAATCTAGTCGGATATGATTAGCTCTTACGTTGAATATTTCAAGTTGTRTTTTATGTGTTATTTTTGTCTTAAAGTGCTATTTTCTCAATTTTTCGTATGTTCGTCAGGCTTAAGAACCACTTGGAGAGAGAGCCATTCAAAATCGAAATCGGGCGTCATTCTTAAATGGGAAACGATCGCTTCTCCGATGTATCGATTGCTTCATTTTTTTATGTGATTGAGACATATGATATGAAACTCTTTCTATTTAAGTCATATATTTTATCTCAGGCTGTGATTTACTGTGATATAGCAATCCTACACCTGGTACTGTCCAACCTTGTGTGATTTTATTAATGTAAGCTCTAGTGTCCTTTATTCTCCACCCCTGGCGAGACGTATCTTCTGGACCGATATTCAAGAGTTTGCAAATCTTTTTATGATTGTGAAATATCTATCTTTATTTTTGCCGTTTCTCCGTCATGGCATTCTTTKTAAGTGCGATTCCCTTTTTCTTTTTCTCCAAATATTATTCTCTCTGGACTTGCGAGGATAAACATTTATCATTTTAGACATCTGTTTGTATGCGTTGTATTTCGTTGTAGTTCTTTAATAGGCCAAACTTACTTAGATAGACAGTTAGAATTGTATCGAAACCCCTCCCACCTCAAGCACAGACCATCAAGTGAAGGAAATACATATTACCGCAAACTAAGTCTGTCTTCGCAAAGTTTTTTGTCACCAGGAATACGATGCAAATGTTGATGAAGAGATAAGCAATTACTCGCCTATAAACTCCACTGAATCGAGATTGTTGACATAAACGGTTTAATGAAWGTGAAGCATGCCATAGTTTGATTGGCGTTAAGCAATTTATTTCCAACAACTGTTTGTATTTTACAACAAATGCCAATCAATATGCAAGGAATCAGCATCCGATATCAGTAGAAAAAGAACAGCAAAATATAGCTAAAAATACAACGTTAAGTATCCATGTACTTTGCCATTACTTATCTGAGTGAACTGTTTGTGAACCTACAAACTACATCAGAATAGTCCTTAATCTTGGAACACAATCACATTCTAGAATATTATTGTCCTCGTTTACCGCGTGAAACAATGGGGTTAGGGTTGTGTTATCTTGCTTTTTAGATTGAAGGCTACTACTCCATAACTAGTTACAGCTTGAGGAAATATATAAAGTTGTCATAAAAAAAGATGAAAATATGGTGTTCTTAGTGTAACAATGTGTAGAATTGAGAATTGATTAAAGGTTAATAAAAACAATTGATTATATGAAAAACACGTTAACTAAGATGCAATAGAAAATAGAAAAAAATGAAATCAAACAGAAGAAGAAAAAGAACAGGTTAGGTTAATAGACTAGACTAGGACTATAGGAGCATACAATAGATGACTTTGGATGAGGATTTTCAAAAAGTCACAAAAGAGTCCATATGTACTAATGATGTCCGCGATCTCAATGTTTTATTCATCACATAAATCGATCTCAATCAACAGCTGGTTTTCCCCGTCGCTTTCTTTGCATCTGTTATTTTAGCTGATAAGGTCTAAAATTAACTGAAAAATACTCAAGTTTCTTTTTCAAGTATTTTGACGTTTGTCTTCAGTTTGAGATCAAAAGTTATCTCTTTAGATTCTGTTTTGAAGATCGTTGAGTGGGTGTCAGGACATTTTGTTTTCACACCAAACTTAGTGGTATTAGGTTTGAAAAAGGCGTTTACCTCATGAAATGTAATGCCTAATCAACCACAGAAAGTCTTGTCATAATAGCAAAGAAAAGTTTTCGTAACAAACTAACAAAAAACTGCGGTCAAAAGAAAGAAAAAATGTAGAAACTATGATAATTCTTAAAATCCAGATGCGAATTGTGAAATACTTTAAATTAACATACGTCTTCGTGTTTCCTTTGTGAAAAAATGGAGAATTACAGACATTAACATGTAAATTTCAACAAAAATAAAGTCCTTCAGGTGTTGTTTTCACTAACCTGGTCAAGAATATATGTTGTATCGTGTGTCCCTTCTATTTGTGAAAGAAAGCTTCGGGCTGTTGTAAGTCTTTTACCTCGTTGAGGTTTTTCTTTTTTTCCACGGTATTCATGTGAAATTACACTAGTAAAGCATTGGACTCTTGTTATGAGAATAAAAGCAAAAAAAACTAACAAAACACAATGAGGATTCGGTCTTGCCATGGTCAAGTGGAGAATTTGTTTTCTCTTGGTGGTAGTCAGCAAAATGATTAGAAATAGAATCAGCAAAGCCTTTTATGATAGCATGGAGGTCAGCGGGCTACCTATGTATCCTGTGTTTCCGCCCTGTGTTTACTAATTATGATGTTTTCAGCCAATTACAGAGCCTCTCGATAGCACGCTTTCAATATTGACGTGGTCATTTATAGAAGCAAAGTAGGGCTATTGTAGTCTATGAAATACCAACTGATTGCCAGTCCCATTCTACAGGAAATGTTTATATGATTGTCAGTGTTTTTCCTACTATTTAATTTAACTGATATATCGTTGCCGATTGTAAAATAAGACCTTGCCTTTTTGGTTTTAGTTTATTTGAAAAAGGTAATGTTTTAACGAAGATTTTGTTGGATTTTGACGTCGTTTATGCCGTTTTATTATAGTTTAATTGTAGTCGCCTAGTACAAAGGCTACTTCACGCTTTTAGTCTTGCCCTGAATGCAGACAATCTTTGCAGATTACTTGGTACTTTACCATTAAATTATTCAAAACAATTGCAATCACATTTGGATTCAATATTTATCAACATGATTTAGCCTTGTCTTAAAACAATATGTTCAAATCATGTTTCACTGGATTTGCCTTGTTAGAACCAAAAATTATAGTCCATTAAGGACTGGCCTGAACCCACTTAATGGTCTGACTGTAAAAAGCTTAAATACTTGACACAAATGGTTTTGAGTCGTTGAGTTTCAAGCAAAATCCCTCGAATGATGATGTCAATGAGTGTACAAGTAACATCCATCTAATACCTGATGTGAATAACATTTCTGATTAAAAATGATGTTTCGTTTCCGTCACCGCTCTTTTTCAATTACTGAATTATAGCGGGTTTTCAATTTCTCCGCGACACTTTGTTCTATTCAAACACTAAAACTCTGTAATTTTTGGTTAACTCAAAATTTATATAGAACAGCGTAATCAACGTTAATCTGKTTGGGTTTAACATTGCATTAGGCTGAACACCTTATTCATTTTCACGGGAAAGGAAGTCGCAGAGCGACTAGTCAAATGACCCGTTTTTCAAATTATTTTGCCAAGTATTTTTATTTACTCATTGATTCTAAAGAACACAAAATTAACAGAAAACCAATGTTAAAAGGCCCTTCAGCAACAGGCCATTACTAAGATTGTATTATAGTATATAAGACCATGTCACTCTAACTAATGTATGCATGTTAACGGGACAAGATAGTAATTTTCATTCTTCCTTCCTTCCATTAACAGCAGCTGTTAAATTGTTGCTTAATACAATTCTGTACGGTTTTATTTGCCYGATTTGYTATCGCAAAAAGCAGTAGACGCCTTGTTTTCACGCCTATAGACTTGTAATCTGTAGATCAGGGGGTTGTGTGTGAAGATAACAAAAACAGGTGCTCTACGTCTTAACGATGGGTATCATTTAGAATGTTCGTACATCATCGCTTAGGTCGATTAGCGTCACAAATCGTCTTATCCTTAACCCCGCATGGCCACGCGTTATTTCCAGGGCAATTAAAACCAATAAAATGGCCAATAGTACAACGTTCCGGTATAAAACAATCCCAAGAATAGCTCTCAGAACTAGAATTTCATCAACTATTTGTAGAGYCATCAACGGTAGTGGCCATTCATATCAACGTCCGGTTTGTTCTCAAAGAGAGAGCAAGAGGCAAAGAACAAAGCAAGCAATGTAAGGTCTATGAGGACTTTTATGAATAAAAAACCCTGAAAATGTTYAATGACAATCTTTAGCTACTTCACTGTACTTACAGTTTCTTGTGAGGTCTTTTGTCCAATTGGCGCCATACTTCATCTAAGTGAACATGTATAAGACTGGGATTKCTCTTGTAARATTAAACTGAAATATCGAGSGGCTCCAGCCATAGCGCACATAAGATACAAAAGCCTTAGTGACACGGAATCTAGGTGGAGTTGTTAGATGCGCCATGCCATTCTACTATAGTGGGATCCTAMGTACATGATTATTAATTTCCATTTGTTCGGAGACGCTATTGTTTTACTACATATCGACACACAACACTGCAATTCTAAATGTTGTCGCAACTTAAAGAATCATTTGTCACCATTATCGAGTATATGTCGAATACAGTAGTAACCCATTGTAAAAAATACTTGCTTAGTTTATATCAAGTAATCTATTGTGTCGCCTGAAATTAGTGCAGACGTTTTTGTAAAGAATACGTGTTTATATGATGTAGGTTGACAGACAACCAGGCTAGCAGACATTAATGGGAAATGAAAGAATGAGGAAGCGTGTTTCATTCAACAATGTTATCTGACGTCACTGGGATTGATAGTCATCGATCTTATRCAAAATGACCAGCCATTCCTAATTATTTCAATGTAGTAATTGAACACATGATTCACTTTTATCTTAATGAGTTTTATCTGCGCCCTTTAAAGGCCGTTTTAGTGCGATATAATCGGGTATCAAATATCCTTTTCACCTGTTAATCTGCCAGGTACCGGGCTCCCTGTGTAGCTAGATCCCTCACGAATGAATTCCCACCCACAATCCATTCAACCACACCTTTGGGTGTTTCTATATACACCTTTCAAAACCTGTGACATTTTCACTTCAGATCGCTGTATAACATCCTTGGAATAACCGCAGACCGAATATTCCAATGCTTACGGGCTCAAAGGACAGTCATTATTACGACATTACAAACTATTGTTTTTTTTCATTTTTGTCTTTCGCATCTTGAACAACGTTCATAGCCATCCTCGTGAACACAGGCGTCATCTTCTGTCGCGCGTCGCTTACTGCCAAATATACTTCAGAATGTATTTTAGGTAGCGAGGAATAAAACACGCCGCCTGCCTTCACGAGGATTGTCACAAAACTGGTCTGAATAGAAGAGGAACTTTGCATTCAGTATTTTAGTAAAAAAGGTAAAAGATTTATGAACTTTTCCATTATGATCAAGAAAGTTTCCACGCAAGTTATTTTTATCAAGAATATTTCTCTTTGTAATAGATGGCTATGGCGTGGGGTTTATTCTTGTACTATACTGCGATGTCAAGATGATTTCTCAAAATGTCGTCATGAATTTTTTTATRACGAATTAGTTTGTCTCTAAGATGAAAGGACTCCTGCGTGGAGTGCTGTTTATAAGCCTTTTAGGCTTCAATGATACTTCACTTTAAATTTTACTTACTTCAACTGGCCGCCACACCTTCGCTACACAAGATGACGAGTCTCGACTTGAAATATCGATTTAGCTCCGTTTTCATACTATGTATCATATTTTCTCAAATTTACTGTTATTCCTGGACAGCAAAAGCTAATGGTAGCGGTAAATATGTTGGAGATGAAGCCAATCTGCCAGTGGTTTGGAGTTTACGAAGACGACTGAGAAATGAAGGATCGCAAAAATGGGAACTACCACGAGAACTTCAAGTAAGACAAACCTTATGATTTATCTATTTTGCTTCTATATCTATTCAAACCTCTGTTTTTAACCTTCCACACGAGTTRGTACAATGAGACAGCGATTACTAATGACTCCTCAYTCATAAGCATTTTCAAACACCAACGTTTTTCAAAATCCAATTATGATTATTTGGAAGAGTGATGCAAATGGAGGCCTAAGTAAACCTTAGTTCACTGTAAGGGCGAGGCAAAATTACATGGTCGCTTGGAGATATGGATTTTATCTTCTCGTGTTGAAGATCTCTCACGAGTGAACATAACGAACGAGTGAGAGATTTTCAACACTAGAAGATAAAATCCGTATCTCCGCGCGCCCATGTAACATCCCCTATTTATTATAGGGGATATTCCAGTCATGAAGAACACACATTAGTTCACAGTGACGTATGGAGTGCAGGTAATATATCCTAATTAGAGCGGGCAGTCAAGTCATGAAGTAAAGGAAGTTTCTCTTATAACAATAGAATACAGTCATCGAGCATAAATTGAGGGATGCGTTCTCTGCAGGGCATTGCAGCGTAGTTCATTATTGCTGTGGACTGTAAAAATTTAAGCGGAAAAATACCTCAGTTTTCAACACTATTTTCTGGATACGTGTTTACAGGTCTTATCGGGATGCCTGTGGCTACTGCAAGCATTGTGGGTATTTTCTAAGTAGTATAAGCAACCTATTATGCTATATTAGTGCCCAGTGGCTTGCATGTAAAAGGTTACATATGAGTAGAAAACCTAATTTAAAACATCGAGCCGTAGGCGAAGTGTATAGACAGCAATAATAGTCCGTCCTCCATTCATGTTAACGTGGTAGAGCATTATGGTCTACCATCACCCTCGTTTTCATGTTGTTATCAAATATTTCTTTGTGTGAGTGAGCATCGTTCAAAAGCACATGTGGCGAGGTCTATCAGCTCCAGAAACTATATCGCGAACGAATAGTCCAGTTGCATTATGACGTAACTTTACTACAACTACCAGAGAGCCTTGCGCATTTTCATTGTTATTCAGATTTTTAATCCCCTTGGAGATTAAAGACTGATTTAAACGGTACGATTTGTCGCATACGACTTGTAGTATACGATTTTCCTACTAAAAGTCGTAGGATTTTAAGCAGTGGTTCAAAATCCTACTACACGTCGTGGGTTGCGTACGACTGTTCTAGACAAATCGTAGGGGCATTTACACTGCGCGATTCAAGTCGTATACTACAAATCGCACGAGACAATCGTGCCGTGTAAATCAGCCTTAATAAAACAATTGGCACTAATTGCATTACAAAAGAAAGTTGGCAAAGTATTCTGGTAGTTGTAGTAAATGACGCCATAATGCATATCGCCTGGAAACTGAGCCCATTACGCAATGTTGACCGCTGGCCTGACCGACGCCATTGTTACGTCCATTGATCATGATAATTGAACTGAGAGGAGTTAAGTTTGGTCGGAAATGATCAAATGAGTCATTGCAGGATCCAACCCAATAGTTTCAATTTCAAACCCAAATTTCACGACAAAGTTTAGTTATTATTCTTTAAATTATATCTTGAAATCACAACTACATAATACCAATTTTAATTTTAAATCAAATATCTTGGTTGAAAACAGTGCCAGAAAGGTACATAATTGCTGTAATCAGCAGTGATTTTTGCTGAATCAGTTTACTGAGTTAGAGTCTTGTTTGTTTTAATAGCCTGGTCGTATCAGAGAGCTACAAGGACAGGCAGTTGGTGAARCATCATGACTAGACACGTTCCAGTKCCGTCACAGTCCTTCACTCCAAAGTCCAGTTWTACTTTGCCGCCCAGTGAAGCGCACACACAAGACATTTGAATAAAAATGTTTTTATTGACTTAYATTTTGTAATTTACAAAAAGGGGAAAAATTGTCCTTTTCAATGAGCGAATATTACTCATGTTAGCCGTTCTTTTTCTATGATTCAGAGGAAGACTTGGGTTTCTTGCTTGTTGTCTTTTCAACCATCCTGGAAAGTAATGCGTTCAGACTGTCAAAAATGGGACGCCATAGTAACAATATAGGAATTCCTCCCCAATCCATAAWATATGCTCGTGGGACTACTTTTGTATTTAAACATTCAGTAGTGAACCACCCTTTCGTATTTTGTGCCTTCTGAACATGCGGAACATGCCCTTTGAAAAACTGGATGATTTGAAGGAAATTCTTCGCATGATTAAAATATGATATCACGCTGGTCCCAACTATAGTGTACATGATGAAGACTTACTTGAGATTTTCTGACTGGTTTCTCCCATATATTGTAAGCTTGACGTCGCCGTCCAATCGATGGATTATCCAGTACTAGTATATTGTTGTCATATAATCTACTCTTTAATCTTACGAGAATAGGTTCATCGCCAATATCTCTGCCACTACCATTAGCTTTCGCTGTCCAAGAATAACAGTAAACTTGAGAAAATATGAAACACAGTGTTAAGATAAAATACAGTCGAAAAATCAGGTTGGTTCTTGTCATCATGGTAGGTAACGGAAACAGTGCGTCGAGGTAGCAAACATGAGATATGATGAAACACCGTTGAGTTATAAAGATGTATTCCCTAGTAGGGGGTATTTTTTAGTAAGAATTACAATCGACTATGTGTGGCTTAGAAAACCTGGCGTAGGAAAAACGTCATCTATTATTAATGTGATCTTTTAGCA